TCGGCGCTCCACCTGCCCCCTCAGGCCTCAGGCCTCGCTGCTGCGCAAAGCCACCCGCGCCCCCCACACTGCGTCACCAACACCCCCTTTCCAGAGGCGCGAGCGAGGGACGCGAGGAGGACTCGGCCACCGCTGGGCTCAGGGCACCGGGCTGAGGCTCAGGGCCCTCTGCTGGGAGCTCTGGGGGCAGCCGCATTCCCGGCCCCTGAGTTGCCAATGACAGCACTTGCGTGCCTGACTCCTGTCAGCCAAGCAGGCAAAGCAGGGGGTGGGCATGACACTGCGCGTGCAGGGAGCGCAGGGCACACACAGCACGAAGCGGCTGGCCTGGCCCAAGGCAGGGGCTTCGTAGTTACCCCGTGAGGCCTGAACACACAGGTCCCGGACACAGACCCTCTCTAGCTGCACCCTGCTCGCCACAGGCACCGTGACAGCACCAGGGCTCTCTCTGGCTAGTGGGTAATTTTCATTTTTTTCTTTATTGTTTCCTGTAGTTTAATTTTTTTCAGTGAAATGATCATGTTATAACCTAGTACAAAAGAAAGGAAAGGCATTTCCTAAAGACGACAGCTTCCTCTTATATGTGAGCTATGCAGGGAGTTCAACATCTTTCCCAATGTCACAGGCACCAGCCGCCATGACAGGTTCAAGTGCCTGGGAAGAAAGTGGGACATGCAGCGCTGGGCAGAGGGGCTCACGGCCGTGGTGAGGGCGCTCGCGGAGGTGGGGATGGGGGGCCGGGGCAGGAAGGGGCAGGAGACATTGCAGAGGGAAGTCCCAAGGCCCAGGAGGTGAGCTCAGGGTACCACTGACGATCCCTGGGGCTCTGGGAGATGGGCCCCGCGGGGTGGAGGACGGCTCACCTGCTCCAGCAGCCGGCTCTGCTCGCTCAGGCGGGCCTCCATCTTCCCGATGACCTGCTGGAGCCGGCTCCGCTCCTCCTCCATGTCCCGCTGCTGCAGGCCCAGCCTCTCCTGCAGCGCTGGGCAGCCCACAGGACACTCAGTGTCCGCACCCCTTCCCACTGAGATGGGAGGGGCGGAGGGGGCCAGGCGGTACCTCGGAGCTGCGTGTCCTGCTGCCGGAGGCTCAGCTCCCGCTCCTGGGCAGTGGTGAGGTGCGAGGCCTCCACCCGGGAGGACAGCTCGTTCAGGCTGCTGGAGAACTGCTCCATCTGCTCGATGACGCCATTCAGGGACCTGGGGAGGATCCGGTCACCCTGGCCTGGGGACCCAGCACCGTCCCTGGGTGGGCAGGGCCTGGACCGCAGGACCACACACATACCGCGTGTGGGAGGTGGCGCTGGTGACGGCGTCGATCTCTCGGTCCTTCAGCAGCTTCAGCCGCTGCAGCTGCTCCTCGTGGTCCTTGCGCATCTCCAGGACGGAGGCCCTGAGGGCGTGGGAGGGCGGCTGTGGCAGCGTCTCCAGGGAGGAGCGTGCCTCCGGCACAGTGCTCCCAGGCCTCCCTTTCTTCTCCGGGCACTGCCTCAGTTTCCCTGTCAGCCTTAACAGTCTAGGTGCCTTAATGCCTCATCCACTCTCTAAGGCAGTGGTTCTCAACCTTCTGGCCCTTTAAATACAGTTCCTCATGTTGGGACCCAACCATAAAATTCTTTCGTTGCTACTTCATAACTGTAATGTTGCTACTGTTATAAATCATCATGTAAATGTCTGATATGCAGGATGGTCTTAGGCGACCCCTGTGAAAGGGTCGTTCGACCGCCAACGGTGTTGCGACCCACAGGTTGAGAACCGCTGCTCTAAGGGGCTGTTCCTCCCGTCATTCACGCGGAGGAAGACAGGTGCGCCTGGACCCTGACGCATGTTACGGGCCGCCTGCCTCATCAGCCAGCTCCCTCTGCACCTTTTCTTAGTTTTGCTCTAACCCAGAAAGGCAACCAGGTCACCATGCCGGGCGCCCAGTGCAAACCACACCAGGGTCCGTCAAGTAACTAGACCTGAGAGGTCAGCAGGCGAGGGGGTTGACCTGGGCCGAGTTAGCTGCCTGCTTGCTGCTGCCAGGCCCAGCCCAGCCAGCCCTGTGGGCACCCACCCCACTCCCTAGGGCGATGCCCCTCTCATGGGCAGGATGGGTCAGTGTGCTGGCCTCGGTGCTCACCTCGGTTCAGAGGCACGGCTTGGGGGTGTCATGGCAATCAGGCTGCCCTGCCACCCTAGAAGCCTGCTCCCCTGCCCGCCTGGCCCTGGGCCTGGGCCTGGCCCTCACCGCTGCAGCTGCCGCAGCCGCTCCACCTCCTGGTCCTTCTCCTGCTCGGCCGCCGCCAAGCGCCGCTGGTGCTGGGTGGTGAGCTCGGCCCGGGCCTGCTCGGCCGCCTGGCAGTGCG